GTTGGGGGGAAGGGGGCGGTAAGGACTTTCCAGAAGTTTTGAGTTACATAAAGTTTCTTAGACATAACAGCTAAAGCCAAATCCATATAAGAAAAAGAATAAACTGTTTTTCATCAAAATGAAGAACAACTATTTTTTTTATATTTATTTTTGAGAGAGGGAGAGCACAACTGGAGGGGCAGACAGAGAAAGGGGGACAGAGCATCCGAAGTGGGTTCTGCACTGACACCAGTAAGCCCATTGTGGGGCTTGATCTGACGAACCATGAGATCATGCCCTGAGCCAAAATCAAGAGTCCTAATCTTAACCAACTGAGCCACCTAGGAACCCCCTCACAGCAGTGTTATTTGTAAGAGCCAAACACGGACACATCCAAATGTCCATCAATGGACCTATAGATAAACAAGTTGTGACATATCCTTATATGGGAATACTTCTCAGCACTAAAAAGGAATTAACTATTGTTACATAAAATAGCATGGATGAATTTCAAAACAATTATGCTGAATGAAAAGAGCCAACAAAAAGTACACACTATATGATTCCATTTAAGCAAATTATAGAAAAATGCAAACTAATATGTAGCGAGAGAAAGTCAGCAGCTGTCTGGGGATGGGGTTTGAAGATGGAGTTTGGGGGCATGAAGGAGACATTACAAAGGAGCATGAGGAAGGGGCGCCTGGGAGCTTAGTCGGGTGGGCTTCCGACCTCGGCTCAGGTCATGGTCTCACGGCTCGTGGGTTCGAGCCCCGCGTCGGGCTCTGTGCTGACAGCTCAGAGCCTGGAGCCTGCTTCAGATTCTGTATCTCTCTCTCTCTCTGACCCTCCCCTGCTCACGCTCTCTCTCTCTCTCTCTCTCTCAGAAATAAATAAAACATTTAAAAAATTTTTAAAACAAAGGAGCATGAAGAAATGTCGGGGGGGCGATGAATATGTTTATTATCTTTTTTCTTTTTTAAGTAGGCTCCAGGCTCAGTGTAGAGCCCAGTATGGGGCTTGAACTCGCAACCTTGATATCAAGACCTGAGCTGAGATCAAGAGTTGGATGTTTAACCCCCTTTGCCACCACGCACTCCTGTTCATTATCATTAGCATGATGTTTCACAGGTGTATACATGTCAAAACTTAGAAATTTTTCATTTTAATATGTGCAATTCTTAGTATGTCAATATAGCTGTGTTAAAAAGTTATTTTTGCTTTTGTGGTAACTTCTGGGGCAGAAGTTGTTGAATATTTGCACCCATTTTTTCTCAGAATTCCCATATCCTTAATCATGGCCCTATAATGTTGTCTCCCTCTGTAATTAGAAGAGAGCTCTTTTTTAAAATATTTATTTATTTATTCATTTATCTTAAGTAAGCTCTATGCCCAATGTGGGGCTTGAACTTATAACCCAAGACAAGAGTGCGTGCTCCACCAACTGAGCCAGCAGGTGTCCCTAGAAGACAGCTCCTGATGTTCATAGAAATGAACTTCACTGGGGAATCTTAAAGTTCAGATTAGCTGTTGTGGCAAGGGCCGTTGATAACTTTTTTAACAGCTATTCCCCTTTCTCTTTCTTTTCTACCACAAACCTACGTTCTCACATACAAGCCGATAATCTCTGGACATGTAGCCCAACCATAGTCAATGGCACTAGAAGGGCATTCTTGGTAATACCTCTCACCGAGATTAAAAGAGAAACACTGTGGGGCACCTGGGTGGCTCAGTTGGTTGAGCGTCGGACTCTTGACTTCAGCTCAGGTCATGATCCCAGGGTTGTGGAATCGAGCCCTGTATCAAGCTCTGTGCTGAGCATGGCGGCTGCTTAAGGTTTTCTCTCTCTCCCTCTTCTCTTCTTCCCCACTTGCGCTCTCTCTCCTAGCTCTCTAAAAAGAATAAAATAAAGCAATAAAAAAAAAAGAAACTTAAAAAAGAAACACCTGAAAAAAAGTCCTTCCTGCCTTTGAATGTTTTTACAAGAAGACGTGATGTTTATAGCTGTGGGGGCCTTTTTGCAACCGTGAGAGGAAAACCAAGAGTCTCAGAGAAGACCACAAACTCTGACGGTGCTGTGCTGCTTAATTAACCAGCCCTAGAACCAGCTACCTCTGGGCCTCCTGAAATGTGGAATAATATACTGCTCAGTTCTTAAAAGCCACTTAGTTGTGATGTATTTGAAAACAAAGCATTTATTTAATCAATGATACTATTAATCAATTAAAATAACTGACTTAAGGGGCACCTGGCTGGCTCAGAAGAGCATGCAATTCAAGGGGCGCCTGGGTGACTCAGTCAGTTAAGCGTCTAACTTCGGCTCAAGTCATGACCTCACGGTTTGTGGGAGCCCCCCATCCAGCTCTGTGCTGACATCTCAGAGCCTAGAGCCTGCTTTGGATTTTGTGTCCCCTCTCTCTCTGCCCCTTTCCCTCCCCACTCACACTCTGTCTCTCTCTCTCTCAAAAATAAACATTAAAAAAAAATTCTTATTTTACAGGTTCTTTTTTTCTTTAATTTTTTTTCTTTCTTTCTTTTTTTTTTTTAAATGTTTTATTTATTTCTAGGAGAGAGAGAGACAGCGTGAGCAGGGGAGGGTCAGAGAGAGAGGGAGATACAGACTCTGAAACAGTCTCCAGGCTCTGAGCTGGCAGTCAGCACAGAGCCCGATGCGGGGCTTGAACCCACGAACCGCGAGATCATGACCTAAGTGAAAGTCGGACGCTTAACCGACTAAGCCACCCAGGCGCCCCTATTTATTTCTGAGAGAGAGAGAGACAGCGTGAGCAGGGGAGGGTCAGAGAGAGAGAGGGAGACACAGAATCTGAAATAGGCTCCAGGCTCTGAGCTGGCTGTCAGCACAGAGCCTGACGTGGGGTTCGAACCCACGAACTCTGAGATCATGACCTGATCCGAAGTTGGACACTTAAACGCCTGAGCCACCCAGGCGCCCCTAAAAAAAATTTTTTTAAGAGCATGCAACTCTTGATCTTGGAGTCATGAGTTCAAGCCAAATGTTGGGTGTAGAGATTACATAAATAAATACATAAATAAATAAATAAATAAATAAATAACTGACTGACTGACTTGGGTCACCTCAGTTTCTCAATTCTCAATCAGTTAAGCATCTGACTCTTGATTCCAGTTCAGGTCAAGATCTCATGGTGTGTGGGACTGAGCCCCATGTCAGTCAGTGCGGCAGAGTCTGCACACAGTCTGCACAACACCTGCTTGGGATTCTCTCTCTCTCCCTTTCTCTCAAAATAAATAAATAAGCTTAAAAATTAATAACTGACTTAAAATACTAATCTGAAAATGGGTGGCTATGGAGTTTTAGGAACACCTAAATTTTAGTCCCGGATTTAACTGTATCTACTCTGAAGAACATTTAAAAAATGTTTTTTAATACTGTTTTAGTGTTTATTCGTCTTTGAGAGAGAGAATGAGGAGAGAGAGAGAGAGGGAGACACAGAATCTGAAGCAGGCTCCGGGCTCTGAGCTGTCAGCACAGAGCCCGACGCGGGGCTGGAACCCACGAATCGTGAGATCATGACCTGAGCCGAAGTCCGATGCTCAACCGACTGAGCCCCCCAGGCGCCCCTCTGAAGAACATATTAAGTCGTTAAAACAGTGGTCCCTTCTATATACTACCCTCCCAGGTCAGGTAGCCTTCAGAAGCAGAGGCTAATAAATGCCATGTGAGCACCCACTGAAGGAAAACTAGCAACTTAGGAGCTATGCTGTAGGAAACTATTGCAGGAGCATCCGTGCCGGTCTCCAGGTCCCTCTCCTATGGCCGAGGCACTGAGACTATGCCTAAAACGTTGCCAGAGCATCTATGGGTTCAGCATCCAAAGTCACCCTCCTCTTTCAGTACAACGTTCAGTAACGGTACCTTCTACACCAGCCCATCCACGTGTCGCCAGAGGCCTGGGGGAGGTGGCTGTCCATGCAGAATTCGGTTGTAGAAGTTACATCCAGCCAAGAGTCTGCACCGGCAGGCTGAGGGCCAAGCCACCACCTGACAAAATAAATTGCCCAGTGGGGTCCCGAACAAAGAATGTTAAACCCTTGCAAAACATTCAGCAAAAACGTTATATAGAGAGAAATTCTTTGATAAAGTGAGTATAACCAACGATATGTTTTGCTAGATTTAGATTTTTTTTTTTTACCATGTTTCCTTGATGCAAATTTATTTGTACTGGATTTTGAAGCAGTTTCTTAGAGTCCCAATTTTTAAAGGAAAGATGATGGGTCTTTTACGGACTCAGGTGTTTAACCACGTGCATTCACGTGCGTTCGTTCTTTCTGGCACCAGGATCCGCAGCCTGTCTCCTCTGACCAAGTCTAGTGTTTCGTAGCCAAGACTCATAAAATGACTGAAAGAAACAAGAGTGAAAAAACACAAAACACAAATATCAATAGCAAATCAGAACATGTTTATAAACAAGGCAAGTGACTGCTCTGTTTTTAAATGCTCCGTAAGTACTACCAGCAAGAACAGCCGCGGTAACTACTGTTATAAGGGAAATACCACAGCTTCGTTCTTCTCTGGTAACTGGTCTTCTGTGTTCGATGGGGCCGACTCCAGACACGCTTACTCTAAATGGGATGATAATACCACGGCTTCTCAAGCACAGAACGATGCGAAGGAGCAGAAGAGTAAGCAAACATCGTTCTGGGAACGGGAGGCCCTTCCTTTCCGGAGCACTTCCCGCTCTCTCGGGTCCATTACAAACGGACAGATTACACACTCGCACACTCGCTGAACGCGCCCTGAGCGAAGGCCTCCCGAGCCTTGAACGCCGCCGACGCCCCTTCAACACGATCTTCCGGCGCAGGCCCCACCGCGGCCTCAGGAGCAGCGCCCGGGCGGCACCACACGCCCGCCCCGCCGCAAGGAAGCAGCCCAACCACAGGCCTGCGCGGCGCGGGCTCCGCCGCCCGCCGCCCGCTCCCCTGCCAGGGGCGGGGCCGGCGCCCGGAAGGGGCGGGGCCCCGAGCCCCAAACGCCCCACGTTGGGAGCTGTGCGTTCTTTTCCGCTCGGCTGTGGGAGGAGGCGGCTGCGGGGCCTCGTCGGTCATGCGGGCCGGGCGGCAGCGCCGGCGGACAGGTTGCTGGGCCCTTCGAGGTGGGAGTCCTTGCGGTCTTGGTTCACCCGATTCTGCCGGCACCCCGACTCGGCGCCGGAGTCCAGGCCCGCCTCCGCCCTCCGCCCTCGGGCCCCCGCGTCCAGGGCTCCGACCCTGCAGCGCGTGGCCGCGGGGTCGGCCCGGGAGGCACCTTCCCTCCCCCGCCCCGAGGGAGTCTCAGCTGACCTTCGCTTTAGTAGACGCCCGTTCCCACGGTTCTAGACTCAGAAATAAGGGGCCTCATCGGATCCCGGCGGTTTCGAGGCGGCTGGAGCTCTGGCGTGTGGTTCGGGTGTGCCCTGGGCGGCTCCTCCACTCGTGCGGGAGCGTGTTGTACAAGGAGAGCGGGATTATCTCTAGGATATTAAGACTTTAACTGTACTTTGTGATTGGCTTTCAAAATTGTTAACAGCAGTTTAGTAGCCGTCTGGTAGCGACTTAATACTGTTATTTGTCGTATGTGTTTGCGACTCTTCCTTTGTAAATGTTTTCTGAAAAGACGTGGTGTTGAGGTTGAGAGAAGAGTTAGGTACTGCTCCCCAGGCCATAAATGCCTGCTCTGCCATTAAATGCTTGCGTTTATGTAGAAATGTGTATTTCTGGACATAAGAGGGAAGAAACTGGTCAACCCTCAGCTGGGAGGCTGGAAGAGTATGTTGCCTATTCAGAAACAAGTTGTGGGGGTGCCTGGCCGGCTCAGTTGGAGGAGCTTGGGGTGGGGGTTGTGAGTTTGAGCTCCACTTAGGGTGTAGAGATTACTTGAATACTTTAAAAAGGTGTTAATACCACGTCGATGAGACCATATAATCTGTGGGGGGGGGGGGTTCCCTCCCACAAAATGTTGCTCTCGCCAGGGCAATTGATGGCTAAAAGTAGTTTACATTTGGTATTTATTTTGAGGTAGAAGTGGCATCAGTCTTATTTTTATTACTAAATACTGGGCTTTAAAATTTTTTTTTAACTAAATGTTTGGTAAAAATATTGATAACACAGGTAAATCCTGAAGCATAATAAATGCAGAGCCCATCAAACTATTCAAGAACTGTGGTTCTTCTCATTACCTAGCATCTAATTCCTTATCTGCCACATACTCCTGCCTTCCATCCTGAGGTGCCTCTCATCTGGGATTTTGTATCTAGTCCGTTAGCTTTTAGAGCTGAGTGGAAGGATAGCAGTTTTATTACAAATATGTATCACTAAACATTGTTGTAGGCTTTACACAAATGAGATTACGCATATAGTTGTCAGTAGTTCCCATGAACCTCATTACACTGAAACTTTCCAATTTGGAATTATTCATAACTAATAGTTTGTGTTCCTAATATTGACAATGTGAAATTATTTCCAGACTTGAAAATGATAAATTGTTTTGCAAGGTACAGCATTTGATGTGTCTTCATAAATCATTTCCAGTAGCTGTCTGGTTCAATGATTTATCCTCCTGGGGAGCTGTAGGAGATGATCGGTGGCCCTGGCCATTCCCCTTGCACTACCTAAGTGTGCTTTCAGGCAGCCTGGGACTCAATTCTACAAGACTGTCCAATAATGATGCCAACATAATGTATCTGCTCTAAAAGTATATTAGATTTGCCATTGTGATGCTTTAGTTGGAGGTCTACACACTTGTTTCTGTATATCTTAACCTTTAACCTGACTCATATCTCATCCTTGTCAAGCTCTGAGACAAAAGCAGTGGCTAGGTACTCATTAGGACCATCAGGTCTTAAAATCGATACTGCCATAGTAAAGAACATCCTGTATATATCCAGTTTTTCCTAACCATGTTAATAAAACCCATTTCCAGCTTGGAAAGATTTATGGAATTATTACGGCCTAAACAGTCAAAAGTACTTATCTCAAATCATTACAGAGGTCTAAATTTTGGGGTTTATCCGTTTTGACTATCAGAAAAAGTAGAACTAACCACAAGGTACTTTGTTCCATGCGAGATGTGTTAAACAACAAAATTATTCCAGTATATGGCCTCAAATGTTAGTAGTTGTTATTAAAAAGTTAGTTGGGAGTCAGGAAGGTTGTAAATATAATTATGTTTATGGTTCCTGATAAGAATGAAAAAGTCTTACTGGACCATTCCTCCATGGAAGATGCTAAACACACAGATGGCAAGTAAAAATGAGGACTCACAATGAAGTATTTTGATTTCCAGGTGAAACCGAGCCTGTGAGGTGAAGATGAATGAACGTTGTGATGCTTTCCAAAAACACGTGAGAAGATGTCTGTGATAAAACCACTAGGAGCAGAACTGCATGTAATGAGGTACCAAAAGTTAATGTTAAGCTGTGCTGTTTCATGTCCTCACGGTACTGTCTGGGAAGAGCAGTACCAAAACTGTTTAGTAGGTTTCTGACCTAAATAGGTTTCATAACTGGCACAATGATGACTTAAATTACTTTTTGCCGTTTACCCAGCTGAGGGTTTCTTTGAAGAAATAATTTGAAGACTGAGATGCCAGTTAATCTATATTATTTATGTGAATTACTCAAGTATAATGCAATTTTTTATTAAAATGGGTTATATGTTCTTTTCAGCATATAGGTAGCTGCAGATGAATGTTCAAGTCCATAACTGTCATGGTTAAAAATTCGTCATTGCCTCAGGTAAGTAATTCTGATTCGTCAAGTAATCACAGCTATTCTAAAGTATCTGAAACTTCAAAGGGCTAGAGCCATAACCTGTTAAAGTTGCCTATGTGGCTCGGTTGGTCGAGCCTATGACTTCAGCTCAGGTCATGATCTCCCAGCTTGTGGGTTCAAGCCCTGCATCCAGCTCTCTGCTGATAGCTCAGCCTGGAGCCTGCTTTAGATTCTGTCTCCCTCTCTCTACTCCTCTCCCACCACCTCTCTCTTTCTCAAAAATAAACATTTTTTATTTTTTTATATATATATATATTTTTTTTTTCTTTTTTAGGAGAGAGAGACAGCGTGAGCAGGGGAGGGTCGGAGAGAGAGGGAGTCACAGACAGAAACAGGCTCCAGGCTCCTAGCTGGCAGTCAGCACAGAGCCCGACGTGGGGCTCGAATGCACGAACTGCGAGATCATGACCTAAGCGAAAGTCGGACGCTTAACCGACTAAGCCACCCAGGCGCCCCAAAAATAAACATTTTTTAAAAAGATGCTTTGTGTGTGTCATGAGTCTGATTTTCCTTTGATTTTGACTACGGAATGATTTTCACTCTTGGTTTCTGATTTTTTTTTCCCCCCCGACGCATGCAGTTGGAGGAAAAAGTGAACTGGTCAAGAAGACATGAATTGAAGCAGATGATGAAAATTAATACTTTATTTAACACTGATCACCTCATAAGAAGTTATGTTGAGAAATACATGCTTTTGAATACTTTTAATTGCTGGGCAATAAAGTCTGCTATCTTTAAGGTAGATCAAGTATTTAAACTTCTCCCATTCCATAATCACTAGTCAGACTTGTTTTTAGCATACTTTGAGATAGTATGTTGTTGTCAAACAAGTATATGGAATCTCCTAATTTTAGTATATGTGCTGCCAAAGTGAGCACGAAATCTAAACACCTTAATGAATTATCCCTTACAAGTAATGATTTCACCTATGACCTATATAGTGTTTAATCTTACTCTTTGCTTTTGCCTTTCAACAAAATCCTGATCCTATTACAAATAATAACATGTTATATTAAGGGAAATAGTGACTGGACAGTCCATACGACCAGGACTTAGAATTTACAGAAATTCTAAAGCTGAATTCTTAACTGTGTGAAGACAAACTTTGCTAAATCTTGCTTTTCCCTTTGAGTCCCACAGTACATAAGTTAACTTTCATCTAGGTTATAATTTCCAATATGACAAGTATAGAATTCTAGAATTGGAGTATGTAAATTGTTTTTAAAAACTAGCTTTGCTGACTCCATTTTGGTTCAGGTTGTGAGATCAGGCCCAGCCCCATGTCCACACTGAGCATGGAGCCTGCCTGGGATTCGCTCCCACACTCAAAAAACAAAAGCTTTAAAAAAAAAAACCAACAAGCTTTGCTTTCTGAAAAGGTAACACAAGTCTCTGGCACTAGTGAACATTCAGTAAATACTGTTGAGTGACTAGGAGTGATTTGTCAAAGGCCTATCGAGAGCTGTCCACCTTTATGGTTAAACTCCATGAAGTGCCAGTTTCTACAGAATTCAGCATGGTGGTATCTTATTTTTTTATAATTAACTTACGGGTGGCACCTGGGTGGCTCAACTGGTTAAGTAACATCAGGTCAGGATCTCATGGTTGGTGGCTTCAGGTCCAACATTGGCCTGGAGTCTGCTTCAGATGCTGGGTCTCTTCTCTGCCCCTCCCTCATTCACACTCTTAAAAAATAAACATTAGAAAAATTAACTTACTAAACCTTTGAAAACAAAAAAAATTAGGGGTTTTACAAGTTAAATGTTTTCTCACAGTTTTCCCCTTGTTCTCCCCCCATTTTCAGAATAGATCTCTTCCCTCCAAAAATGAAGATGGTTTGCGAATTGGTATCTTTACCTTTTGGTACCTTTCTTGTAACCAATTAGGTTTAAAGAGCCAACTCTTGCCCCTTGATTTGTTATAGATTACTTTTTTTCATTTGACCCGGCTTTAAAAAAATGGGAAATTTCCAAGCTTTCCCTGAATCGTTAGGGCTTCCAAAACTAATGGACATAACAATAGGTATGAAGTGTCCTTAAATTGGAGGCTTCTGGTTCTATAAGTTGCTGTCATTTACTCTGTCAGGTTCACAGGTGTGAGAAAAATGATTTATTTTTAGGTAAATATCTTAAAGTGTTATTAACATCTTGTGACCAGTAAAGGGAACTACAGAAAGATGACCATTTTTTACATTGCTTAGTTTCCAGATTCTTGATACTGAGACCTTTTATATTTTTAAGATAGCTTCCTAATGTACTGTGTACATAGTATTATCTGAAGCATTACTTAAAAATCATACCTTTCCATTGTTTATATATATGAGTGAAGAAAATAATCTTCCGCAGATTACCTATTCATCGCTAGTGAAGATAGCTGTCCCAGGTCCATATGTGGCAATAAACTGTTGGAGCTGCTGCTGGCACTGAGTCAAATAGATATCCCTTTGCTCCAAATATTCTTCATTATACAATTCAAACGGAAATACTGCATTTGGAGCGACACAAAATACAGTGGCCCCTAAATAAAGAAGGAAAAAAGTGTAAATGAGAATTCCTTAAAATGCTGATTGTGAAATCACATTTTCAATAAAATAGGATGAGTCTGTTGTTTTATAGAGTGCAAGGTAGGGAGAGGGGCAGAGGGAGAGACCATCCCAAGCATGCTCTACATTCTGCAAGGGTCTGGGGCAGGTCTTGGCCCCATGTCCTGGATCATGACCTGAGCTGAAATGCAGAATCAGATGATTGGGGCACCTGTACGGCTCAGTTGGTTGAGCATATGACTCCACTGGCTCAGGTCATGAACTCCCAGTTTATGGAATCGGGGCCCACATGGGGCTCTGCACTGACAGCTCAGCCTGCTTGGGATTCTCTCTCTCCCGTGTTCTCTCTCTCAAAAAAGTAGGATGCTCAATCTACTGAGCCACCCATGCCCCCCAATAGTAAGAGTTTTAAAATTAAATTCTGACCCATTTAATAGAATATTTCAATAATCATTTCAAGCTGATCTATTTTTAGACTCATGACATAGTTTCAGTATATGCACAGACTTACCAAAGCCAAGAAAAAATATGATTACATTTTAGTGTAGGAACTAGAGAGGCACCTGGGTGGCTCGGCAGATTGTCCCAACTTCAGGTCACATCATGATTTCACAGTTACGAGTTGGAGCCCCACACTGGGGTCACTGCTGTCAGCACAGAGCCCACTTCAGATCCTCTGTCCCCCTCTCTCTCTGCCCCTCCCTAGCTCGTACTCTCAAAAGTAAATAAACATTAAGTGTAGAAACTAGAATTTTGTTACCTTTTGACCTAGTCATTACAGTTTTGAACCTGAATAGTGCTGTGAGGAAGTGGAAGAAGTAGGGAGAGAAGGTATTAGAAGGTAGGGAAACACTTTAAAGGTCAAGTGGATAACTGAGGATAAAGACATCATCTTTCCACCATAAGCCTGGAAAGAACCCCTCAAATACAAGGTTAAATGATTTACAATAAGGGTGCCAAGACCAAACTGTCCAACAAATGGTACTGTGAAAACAATGCCCATAAGGTAAAGAATGAGGTTGGTCCCTAATATCACAGACCCAAGCATAAGAACTAAAACTAAAACAAAACATTGGGGAAATGCTTCATGACATTGGAGTTGGCAGTGACTTCTAGAATTTATAAAATGCTAGATTTCTAGTGTTATAACACCAAAGCACAGGCAACGAGAGGAAATAGATAAGTTAGACCACATCAAAATAAAAAATTTGTGTATCAAACACTACAATGAAGAATCAAAAGACAACCCATGGAATAGGAGAAAATATTTTCAAACTATATCTAATAGAGGATCTACAACTCAACAAGAAAACAACCCAATTAAAAAATAGGTGAAGGGACTTATATGAAAACCAATTTGACAAATTATATTTTTTAAAAAAGCCAACTTAAAAAAAAAGGGTGAAGGAGAAATAGACATTTCTCCAAAGACAGGCAGATGAATGATGGTCAGCATCACTAATCATTAGGAAGATGTTGTTAAATACCATCTCATACCCATAAGGATGCCTACCATCAAAAAAGCAATGTTGGCAAGGATATGGGGAAAATGTACTCTTGTGCACTATTGGTGAGAATGTAAAATAGTGCGACCCCTATGGAAAACAGTAGCAGTATATTCAAAAAATTGCATGGTTCAGGGATTTCACTTACAGGTATATACCCAAAAGAATTTAAAGCAAGGTCTCAAAGAGGTAGGCATACACTCATGTTTATAGCGTTATTCACAATAGCCAAAGGTGCAAGCAATCTAAGGTCCGTTGTTGGATGAATGAATAAACAAAATGGGGTGTGTGTGTGTGTGTGTGTGTGCATGTACACATACATACAGTAGAATATTCAATCTTGAACAAGAAGGAAATTCTAATGCATGCTACCACACGTATAAACCTTGAGGACATTATATGAAGTGAAGTGAGCCATAAGACAAACACATATTATACTTATATGAGATACAAAGAAAAGTCAAATTTATAAAAATAGAAAGAATGGTAGTTGCCAGGGACTGGGGGAAGGAGAGATTGGGGAGTTATTGTTTAATGGGTATAGAATTTCGGTTTGAAAAAAATGAAAGAGTTATAGAGATGGATGGTGGCAACAGTGTGAATGTCCTTAACACCACCAAACTATACACTTAAAAATGGTTAAGATGGTAAATGTTATGTATATTTTACCACAATTTAAAAGAAAAAAGCTTTGACTATCACTGTAGGAGTTAAGCTCTTAAATTCCGTTTCATTGTTGATTCACTGAATGAGTATGTGCAAGTGGCTGGCCAGGAGTATAGCTGCTAGCCAAGCAGACAGTGCCGACCTTCCTAGAGCCATCTGCCATCAGCACACACTTACACAGCCTCAGAGCGTCAGACTGCTCCCTTTACTACTCCCTTTATCTTACCTGAATCCTTACTGTCCCTTGAGAACACTGTCCCTGCTTTCCCTGTGGCTCTCTAAAATGAAGCTGCTTTTTCTCAAAACACCCCTCATATCGTAGTATCACAAGACAGAGACAGTGACTAACTTGCTGCCCCTTGGCTGCTACCAGACCATTCTCACCGCTGCTTTCCTCTTAATAAAAATCTTTCCTTTGATGCCCAGTGCCATTTGGGCTTACTATCCTTTCTCTTCCTTGGTGAAGTCAACCACCTCTCAGCACGTGGCTCACAATATTCCTCTATTCCCTACTGCCATTCAGCGATGTCCATGTGAATGACCCATTTAACTCCAGACCTCTCTGTCTGGACCATTTTTCCTCTACCTCCACTACAAATAGG